ATAGATAGATAGATAGATAGATAGATAGATAGATAGATAGATAGATATCCAAATTAATATATAAAATATGAAGGAAATAGGTGGTATGTGTAAGTAAGCAATTCGTTTGATTTTCCTTTTATGTAGCTTTAGGGTGAGGATTCATATTACTACAAATTCAGGGTTAAAAAATATTCTCAATATTTTGGGGTTGGGGGATATGAAGATAAAAAGAAAACATTATCAAATGGCTATTGAGGATTTGGATAGTAGAAGCTATATGACTCTGTATCTTAAGTTAGCCTGTAAAGGAAGACGCCACTAAAAATTCAAGAAAACAGCAAAAGCTATATTCTTAATAAGTTGGTTTTGCCACGTTAAAAATTAACACAACAGCTGTTTTAGGCAAATAATGGATCTCCATGAAGCTACACCAAAGACGAATTCATTACATTTCTATCTCACCCATCTCACCCAAGTGGCTCCAGGTGGTATACAAAAGAATAACAATGGAGTAGCAACAACATATATTGCAATAGAGTAGAATTGAAAAAGCCCTAGAATTTTCTACCTACTTTTTATGTTCATTCTTTCTTCCTATTAATTATTTGCCCCCCTAGAATTGGACATGGGTGGGTGGGTAAGGGCATCATTTACTTTTTTAACTGTGAAAGAAAAGGTTATCTTGTCTTTTCCACAGGCCATTTTTATCTTAACAAAACATATCAGAAAAAAATCTCATCTATTTTGTTCCTAAGCTATCTCCCTGAAAAACAATAAACATGCTTTATGGCCAATTCTTCGCAACTCATGGTTCCTACTTTCCGTTATGTTCAGATTGTTACCGTATCATCAGGCCATTTATTAGGATGCTGGTTATAACATAAGGAGGAGCTCTGCTATTTTAATGGGATTAATCTGGGAGGCGGAAGATTAAATACCAACCATATTTACACTCCATTAATGTTTCCTTCTTTTGTAAATAAACCTTTACCTGTGGGAAGTCGTTTTCCTCTCAGCCTCTCTCGAATGGCCTGGCTCTTGTCTGTGTGAAGCTTTTTCTCACCTGTGCAATAAAGCTGGTCTACCTATTGCAACAAAAAAAGGAAGAAAATGAAGAACTGAAAAAGCCAGACTAGCATAAACTCAATAGACGAACCCTCTTCCATCCACTGAAAGTAGAAACTTAAAACCAGGGGTCTTCAAACTTGACAGCTTTAAGATTGTGGACTTCAACTCCCAGAATTCCTCCTCCAGTCATGGTAGCTCAGGAAATCTGGGGGATGAAGTCTGCATGTCATAAACTTGTCAAGTTTGAAGATCCTTGCTGCTTAAAACGGTTAAAACTCAGGTAGCCTAATGAAACTATTCTTCAGTATCCACATATCCACAGGTATATGATTTGTGCAGTGCCTTAGCCATCATGGCTTGTGCAACAGCAGAATTTTTCCTGACCTATGGTTTGCCTCAACCAGTGAGCCTGGTTTGTAGCTTAGCTTAAGTAAATTTAGCCACAGTCTGCCTTCCTTTTGCACTCCTTCCTAAATTGTATTCCAAATGTGCTTTTTCAAAAGACAACTTGGTCTTTATTTTTCCTTGAAGACATTTTGCTTCTTATTCAAGAAGCTTCTTCAGTTCTGACTGAAGAACTGAGCATAAAGAGGAGACCACTAAGAAAGTTGTCCTGAGTCTCCGAAAGAAATATAAAAAGGTTAAAAAATGAACAAACTGGCAAAGAACACACTTTGGAGCTAACACCTATTATTTATTGTTCATTCATTTAATCACTCCCTGCCTTTCTACTCTGAATTGACAAAATTTGAATTTAAAACAGAATATAAAAATAAATTAAAATAGAGTCTAAATTAAAATGATGATTGAATTATCGAGCAACAAAAACGATGATTTGCTACTGAGGAACCCAAACTGAAGGGTAACATTGAATACTGGAAGGACACAACTTGTGTTTACTCTCAGGATGACACGCTTCTGTGTACCATGTGACAAAGAATGTAACTTTCCTATTACAATGCCAGAGCTATGACTGCACTTTGGAATGAGTAAGTTTCTAAATTACATTAATTTAGAAATCAAATTAATTTAATTTTCTAATTAAGCAAACAGAAAGCAATACATCTGATCATATTAGATGCATGTTTCCAATGCAACTGAAAGAGAGGATACTTAACTTCAGTGACTTTTGCAGATATAAATCTAAAGAAAGTGTTATATAGCAATTAACAGGTCTGTGAGAACCAATGAATTATGTAAACAGACCTTCTGGGTATAATTCAAAGTGCTGCTTTTGACTTATTAAGGACCACCACTTAAAGGACTGCCTTCTATCAGAGCCTAGCTACCTGAAAAGATACCCCCAGTAAAAACCATTTGTGCTACAGAAGGTGCTGGTTTTCAATCCTGGCTTCTAAAATCTGGAACAGTCACTCTCTAGAACAGGGGTGTCAAACTCGATTTCATTGAGGGCCCCATCAGGGTTGTGTTTGACCTGGGAGGGAGGGCGTGGCCAGGGGGAGTGGCCAGCTCAGTGTCACTCATGTCAGGGGCGCCTGTGGGGGCCCGAGCGCTCTGGCACTGAAAATGAGCTCCATACCTCCATTTTCAGCTGCAACAGCCTCCTGCGACCCTCTGCCAGTGAAAATGGAGCTTGGCGGCCCTTCCGAGCTCCATTTTTACTGGCAGAAGCACCATGGGCCAGTCCTTCATTGTTTCCAGGGTGGCCCTGCAGGCCAGATATAAGCACCCCGCAGGCCTTGAGTTTGAAACCCCTGCTCTAGAAGCTAATCTGATGTCCTTGGGATTGGTCCTCCAGAAAGTAGTAAAAACTACATTCTTTTGGATGGTCTCGGGGAGAGACTGTTCACCATCTGGAATGGGATTTTGTTAGCTATTTTATTAATATGACATTATGTTGTGGCTTTTGCTTAATTTATGTAAATACATTATGTGTCCTTTTTAATGTGGGCATTTTAACTGTTTTGTATATTGCATGCTGTAATATAACAAATTAAATCAATAACAGGAACATACAAGTGTGATTTGCTTTGTTGATGTCAGGCGCAAAGAATCAGGACCACCAGATAAGCTGATTTATTTTCCATGCCCAAAGAATCTCATCCACTAATGGTCGGTACTAAATTGGCGCTAGATAAGAGTTAATGGAATTCAAGATGGACTGAATTTAGATCACTTGTGGAAATGTAATGACTCCAAGCCAGGTGTGTCAAACTTGATTTTATTGAGGGCTACACATCAAGGTTGCATTTTACCTTGGGGTGGGGGGTGGGGACCAGGGGGCATGGCTAGGGTGGGCTTGGCCAGTTTGACATAACTTGTGTCGGGAGGGCCTGTGGTGGCCCAAGCGCTTTTCCAGCGAAAATGGAGCTCCACGGGCTGGTCCTTCACTGTTTCCAGGGTGGCCCTGTGGGCCAGGTCTAAGCAACCCCATGGGCTGAATCTGGCCTGCGGGCCTTGAGTTTGACACCCCTGCTCTAGGCTGATTCCTCTCTTAACTCCACTTCCAAGCTCTGCCTGTCATTCTCCTACAAACAACTTAATAGAAAAATGTTATTCTTGGGGACATTCCTTTAACCACACATTCAGTAGACTAAAATGAGCAGGTGAACTTTCAGGGCAGAGTGATTTGGAAAGGTGTGAGAAACCAGTTGTGCAGAACAGCAGTGATTCACGGCCAAAACCTGTAAGAACAACCTCTTATCTGAAAGGTGGGGCTCTAATCGCAGCTTCTGCCAAGTTCTTTCCCAGAGTCTCACATCTTTGCAGAACGTATGATTAAAAAGGAAAGGAAAAAGATACTAACTGCAAGATTCAAGAAGGAACTGAAAGAAATTAAAGCCTACTGATGGAATGTGATAGATTCTTAACACAAATAAAGGGGGAATTTGGTCAGAATGTTGACAGGATTAGCTCATATTAATTAGAATTATTTACCTTGGCTCTTGAAAGGGGTTTTAAAGTTAATTGGCAGTGTTTTCATTGTCTGTACCATAATTTAATGGCTTGCCAATTTAAGTCCTTTTGTCAAGCATCCTCAGAATGAAAGGCAAACTTTTCAATAACTCCATGCAGGAGATAGAAGGAAATGTAAACACTTACCCCAGGCACACTCCCCAGAACCAGTTTGACTAACTGTTTTACATATGAGAAAGAAGGTGCACAGTTGCTGTTCCGTATGTGAGCACTGCAGGCATCAAGAACAGTCCGTACAGACACACGGGCATAAACAGTATCTTCACACATACCAAGAAGGATGCTGTTCAGATGATCTCCAAGTTTGATTGGCTGAAGTTAAAAAAAAATACATGTATAATTTAAAAAATCCAATTAGTCTCTCCTTGTCTGATTTTCTTTCTCCCTTTCATACATTTCGTCGAAACCTTCCCAATTGTGTGCTGAGATATATTGTTTTCAACTTCCCTCATCTAGTCCAAGATATCTGGAAGTCATCGGACTGAGGAAGACAACACTCAACCAAATTAGTTTAAGAGAATTTTGAAATCTCTCTCCATTCTCAACATAACTGAAAGTTGTATTTAAAAAGAGTTAACAGCTTTAAATTCAATGAGTTTCATTGAACACATTCAGTGTCATCCTAGGTAATGGATTCCATTGTTCAACTAGCTCCTAAGTTGTTTTTAATTTCTAACCAAGTCTGTCTTTTGTAATTTAAGGTCATAATTCCACATGTACACTCTGTTTTGATCATCTTCTATGTGTAACAGTGATTTAATAGCATATAATCAATCAATCAATCAATCTGTTGCAATGGTCACTGAAACAGCGCTATTTATGTACATTACTAAGATTTTTGTTACAAAAATTAAAATCCAAAAATTAGTCATTTATATTCTATTAAATAAGGATGGAGTAGGGCTACTATAGCTTGGCTGCAAATATACATCAGACTGTTAGACAGAAGTAAAGAAATTCAGAAAACTAGTTTTGCTGTTATGTTGTGTCAGATTTTTGTAGCTCAGGTGGAGAGACTAATAAGCACTATATATTAATATATAAAGTTTACTTATAGTACTAGACATCAGTGCATTTAACCAGTAAAGTTGCATGTAACAGTCACAAAGTTGTCTATTCTTGACCTGTACACTAGCAGAAATTCTTAGAATTTTTTACACAGGAATCTTTCCTATCTTCTGTTACTTAATTCTTTTAATCTGAGATACCAGAAACTGAATTTGGCAATTTCCATGTGCAAATACATACTTTGCCATTAAGCAAATCCCAGTTACAAATTTTTCAGTAAAACTGTTCTTGAATAATAATTCAACACTGATTCTCACAAAGTATTTTGCCTTTAGTCAAGTGTCAGCTGAAAGTATAAGTTGTCTCTACTGAAAAAGTGCTTAGGTAAGAATAGGTGACAGGAAGGGGTCTGTTTATGGTGATTATTTACTTGAAGAAAACTAATTTGAGGTTCACCTCAGTGGGTCTTGGCAATTCATAAAGACCAGCAACCAAAAAAAACACAGCAAGGTAAAATCCATAAATCTTAGCTGAATCTAATCTTTACAACAATTGTGAACTCACAAGAACCATAGAATTGGTGGAAATTAACCACCTGGTTAATTGCTATTCCATGTAAGAAGCCAACTAAAAATATCCCTAATAGACTTTTTGAACATATCCTGTTAAGCTGGGGTGTCAAACTCATGGCCCGCGGCCAGATGCGTCACATGCTGGCCACGCCCACCCCCGGTTTAGCAAAGGGGAAAAAAAACTCGATACATCGCCTGACTACGATGTGATGATATGAGTTTCACACCTCTGCTGCAAACAATTCACAAATTCCATCAGTAACTGATCTTCCTATTAGGAAATCCAAATATTTTCTAGCTGAACTATTTTTCCATGGAAGTTATCAGTTGATAATTGGAACAATCAAGTATGGTATATGAATTTGAGCTTTCTTAAGATATACTATGCTATAATACAGAAACATTATAAAAAGAGGACCAGAAGTAAGGATACAAATAGCCTGGACGTCTGTAGGAAACTGAGTTTACAATTAAAGGACAGCTCTCATACTCATTGGAACTACATAATATTTTTTCTGGAATTACTAACTGATCTTTGTGTTTTCTGCTGGAAAAACACAATATATGTATACATTTATATTCTTCTCATTCAAACCCTTCTGGGTGTATCCTTAACTGATATGTTTATGAGCTTGTAATATTTTTATGCATGCATAGTATTTAAATTTAGATACTGTATTTCACTGTCAAGTTTGAAAGTAGGTGATTAGCTCCTGCCTTAATAGCACACCCTATCATGTATTCCTTATCTAGACAGCTATATTTCCAATCTCTTTGTTCCTTGGAAGCCATATCACTTTTAAAGAAATCCTTTCCTCTTATTCTTTAATAGACTCATCCTTCTTTCCTTAACCACTTCCAGGCTTGGAATCAGTCCTTCCCATTTCTATTCAAGAGTTCAAAGGTCAGGAGAAACACTAATTGTTGTTTTTCCACCTTCTCCTTTTCTTCAGTAATCTGATCTGCTGCTTTGTACCACAGGAGGAAAAAAGTGTGTTAACTTAGTAAGGCATTATTGGGTCCTCAGTTTCTGTATCATAAACTACTTATCTTATTTTTCCATTACTTACCTGGCTTTCTGGAACATCATAGTCAGCACCCCAATAAAGGGTCATTCCAAGAGAATAAATGTGGACCTGCAACACAACACAGCCAAAATGATACCAATGGAATTCATGTTGTAGCAAACATTCTAGGAAGGAATTTATTTATGACAGGGCTGAAATAGACAAAAAAATTTGAGTGTTTCTGAAAAGGCACCCAGATTTCTAACTACATGCGTATTGGATCATGTGAAACAGCTGCTGCACAAAACGTGTTCTTACACAAATGTTTTCATTTAAAAAAAAATCTTTCTCTTTTCTGGAGCAAGAAACTTACTAATTTTAAAACCTATTATCTTTCCGTTCTAATTTAGAGAGTGACCAAAAATACATTCTTTTGTCTGACTGGCAGTCTGCCAGAAAAATATCCAAGTACACAATTTCTTTGGTTTGGAGATGGAATCTAACCAAAAGACTCATGCAACCCTGTCATTGTGTTTCTGGAGGTGATTATAAATGGGAATTGGTTTTAGTGGCTAGCATTTTTGTGGGACACGCTCAGATTTCAAGAGAAAAGCTGAAAATAAAGCAGACTTCTACTGAAAGATTATTTGATAAAAAATTGAAACACACACAGACATATGTATATACACATACATGTCTATGTATAAGGTACACACATCTACATATAAGCATATTTTTCTGCTGAAATCTATTTTTTCACTGGAAAAAAACTAAGTGCAAAATACAGTTTGCTTGAAGATGAAGTATTAATTTTGCCAAAACAAAAATTTCTGTCTTAGAATAGTGATTTTATCTTAATTTGCAAACTGTTGGGAAAGTGTTAGAAAAAAATACTCCAGGGTTTGCCTGAAACTTCTACTTCAGTGGAAAAATATGCAAATAAATGAAAGACAAGGAATGGAAATGTACATGTAATTTGCCCAGTTAAAGGTTTAGTTGGCATGTAATGATCAAATTATGGCTTGGCTATCAAAACCTGCCTATGTTGCTCGTGGAACAGCCACACTAAAAACACAGAACTTAATCTGCATTATGGATGTTCCACATCCTAGCCATGACCTAAGCTTATAAAAATTATATGATGAGGACTGCTTGTTACAAATGACAAGCTTGCCTTACAAATACTGTCACACAAATTTACACATTTTCATGATTAATTAAATATATTTGTATGTGGATTCCCAAATCTCAGAACAATATAAGCACATATCTTAAATAAATAATATATAGGTAGCCCTCAATTTATGACCACAGTTGAGCCCAGAATTTCTGTTGCTAAGTGAGACATTTGTTAAATGAGTTTTGTCCCATTTTATGACCTTTTTTGCCACTGTTGTGAAGTGAATCCCTGCAGTTGTTAAGTTAATAACATGGTTGTAAAGTGAATCTGGCTTCCCCAATGATTTTGCTTGTCAGAAGGTCGTGAAAAGTGATCACTTGATCGCAGGACACTGCAACCGTCATAACTATGAGTCAGTTGCCAAGCATCTGAGTTTAAATCATAGGGATACCGCAACAGTCTTTAAGTGTGAAAAACTGTCATAAGTCACTTTTTTCTGTGCCGTTGTAACTTCGAACGGCCACTAAATGAACTGTTATCTCAAGGACTACCTTTCTGCATGCAATTAAATTCAATTTACTTTTCCATAACAGCATATATTAAGATAATGGAGAAAGATTTTCAAACACAAGCTACATTGATGGTACAAAAAGACAGATAACATACGAAGGTATGTTACATCCTTTCTATCCTGCTCTACAGAGCGGAGAGTTGGTCTCTGAGAGAAAGCCACTTGAAGAGTCTAGAACAGTGGCGGCTAACTTTTTTGCGCTCCTGTGCTGATAATTGCGTGCGGGCTTGTGCGCTCGCATGCCAGTACCCAGAAAGCAATGCAAAGGGGTCCCTCCCCATGCCCCCTGTGCATGCGACCCCCCCTGTGCCCGCCACGCGTCTCTGTGCATGTACGCACAACCCCCGCTGCGCGCCATGAGTCTCTGTGCATGCATCTCCCGCGCCCCCACGCATGTGCACCAGATACCCGACAATCAGCTGTCGGGTGGGTGGCACGCACATGCGCAGTAGACCTGCTCTGGACGAGGGCTCACATGCTGGCAGTTATGGCTCTGAATGCCACTTCTGGCACACGTGCCATAGGTTCGCCATCACGGGACTAGAAGCATTTGAAATGTGGATTTACAGGCGGCTGTGATGTATAAGCTGGGTTGACAAAATCAGAAATGAAGAGGTGATAAGCCACCTGGGAAAGCCAAGGGATATCATCAAAACCATTAAAAACTGAAAGTTAGACTATTTTGGACATGTGATGCAACACCCAAGAAAAAATGGCACACTTCACTTAATCCTCCAAGGAAAGATTGAAGGCAGACGAGGTCCAGGCAGAAGGAGAACATCATGGTTTCAAAATCTAAGGAACTGGTTTGGACAAAACTCAGCAGCACTTTTTCGTGCGGCTGTTGATAAAAATAGGATCGCCGACATGATCACCAATGTCCAATGATGGATATGGCACAAGGAGGAGGAGGAGGAGGAGAATGAAAAGGAGAAGGAGGAAAAAGAGAAGGAGAAGAAGGAGGAGGAGGACAAAAAGGAGAAGGAGGAAGAGAAGAAAAAGAAGAAGAAGAAGAAGAAGAAGAAGAAGAAGAAGA